AATATTTCATGACCTCTTAATGGATTGAGGCAGAAAAGTGTAGCTTAAGTGATAAAACAGAGGTGGCTCAGCTATACATGGTAGAAATTATTTCCCAGGCTTTGTCACACCCTGGAAGAGCCACCAGTGAGGGGCCACAGGCTTGCTGGCCTGGACTGGACGAGCACAGGAAGTGAGTGGAATGAGTGGCTGAATTGGGACACCAAAAAGCCACTGTAAGATGAAATTAATGTCAATAAATGCAAAGTTTGGTATTTGGGTTTTTAAAAATCACCTACTTTTAGTTCTAGCGTGGGAGAGACCTGGTTTGGAGGGTGTTCAGGGCCTGGGGGTGGAAGGGAGGATGGCCATGGAACAGGTCACCACAATCCTACATATTGCTAGGGCATGGGTGGCCCATTCTCTCTATCCCATAAGCCATCCTCGGGAGACTGGGATCTAGTTCCCCAGCCAGGGGCCAAGACTGCCTAAAGCCAGTCCAACAGGTGAGGCCTCTAGAAATGGTGCACTTTGACAGATGGTGGGAGGGTGGGGACCTTTTGTCTGGAAGGGGAGACTCAGGGAGGATAGGAGCCACCCTCCCTTTAGCCTCCAGGCCCTCCCCATGTGATCAAGTCCCTGTCCCCTCTCTAGTTTCACCTCTTGGCACTAACCCTGGGCTCCAAGTCCCGCCTAATCCTCCTTCCTCAAACACCCTCTCCAGGCCTCCAGCATACTGCCCCCTCTACCTGAGATCCCCTTTTCCCCTACCTCTGCCTGGCCAGCTCTTATCCCCCTGGTCTCTCCCATGGGGCAGCAAACGCTGACTGCCCAGTTAAAATCAAATCTCTAGTTCATGACATCATGGGCCTCTATACTTCTTTGCAACAGCATGGATCCCAAGTGGGAATTTATCCACGATGATCTGCTTTATATATGTTTTCCAAACCATGAGCTTGTGAAATCACAAGGGGCATCTGTCTTGCTCATCTTCACATCCCCACTGCCCAGCACAAGGCCACGCATGCAGTAGGTGCTCAATAAATGTTGACTTCTCGAGTGAATAAGTAAATGCAGGGTACCATCAGGTGAGAGCCACAGGAAGACACATTTCAGCTCAGTGAAAGAAAAAGCCTTCTTGAACATTAGTTTGTCCCAGTTTGAGACTGGCTGCCTCGTGAGGTGCTGAGTTCCCACAGTGGCAGCATGCAGGCAGGGCTGGCCTCTGGACCCAGTTAAGCGTGCTATGGTAGTTACACGGGGTGTGGAGGTGAAGGCTGTGACCTCCAAGGAACCTTCCAACTCAGAGGTTCTATGGCTCTCTCCAGAGCTTGAAAAAAGAGCCCGTAATTTGGGGAAGGGGAGTGGCAGGAAGGGAGGAAGCATCCTTGGGATGTCAGGCCTGTTACTCTGGAAACAGAACATTTATAGCACCAAGCCCTGGTGGCTATGGGGACAGATCTTGGATGGGAACAGGACGGGAGGGCTGGGCTCTGGAGCCCAAGGCTGTGACTTTCCATCTTGTCCTCTCCACCCACACTGTCTAGAGGCACAAAGGATGGGGATGAACTTGAGGATAGCGATAGGTCTGGTTCCCCTGAAACCCCACATCCAGCACGGGGCTGGGCACGTGAGTGTTCGTGACTGCATTGAACCTGACCCCCAAGTTGAACCAGCTACATCATTGTGGGGCCTAATGCAAAGTAAAAATGTAGGGCCCCTTGTTCATAAACAGCTAAGAAGTTCAAAACGGTGACAGCAGAACATGAACCCAAGCGTGGGGCCTGCATACAAGCCGCATGTCAACCCCACACACAGCCCTTCCTGGGCTTTGGAAGATGCTGTCCTGCAGACCCCACCCCATCCTACCCTTATTCTGAGGACCTAGCAAAAATGTCAAACCCAGACCTCGCCACAATGCTGGAGCCAAACTGACCCCTCACTCTGCTCTGCTGAGATCTTCATAGTCTTTATTTATAACAATTAGCGGGCAGGCCAGACAAGGTGGCTCACACTTGTAATCCCAGCCCTCTGGGAATCCCACGCAGGTGGATTTCTTGAGCTCAGGAGTTAGAGACCAGCCTGAGCAAGAGCAAGTACCCCATCTCTACTAAAAATGAAAAAAAAATAGCTGGAGGGCATAGTGGCAGGTGCCTGTAGTGCCAGCTACCCGGGAGGCTGAGGCAAGAGGATTGCTCAAACCCAGGAGTTTGAGGTTGTTGTGAACTGTGACACCACAGCACTCTACCCAGGGTGACAGAGTGACACTCTGCCTCAAAAAAAGGGGAGGGGCAGGGAGCAGAATACAATCACTAAACAATACAGGAGATGCTTGGGAATCACTAAACAATACAGGAGATGCTTGGAGTCAAAAGGGCAGGGCGGGGGCACTCAGGGAAAGGAGCGAAGCCAGAGGAACAAAAGGATTTCCCTGAAACAGGGGTAAGGAAATATTACCCCAGAACTTGGAAATTCAGCGAAAGGTGTGCAGTATTTCCCACAATGTCAATCTGGAACATAATGTAACAGACCTGTCTAAAGATTATTTAATTATCTAGGGGAATATACCTTTGTTTGATTCACCATTTCTTATTAATAAAAGGTCTGAATGCCATGAAATTACATTAGCTTGTAGATTCTTATCTGGCAAAGTGGTACACGATTTCTGCCCAATAGAGAAGTTAACCCCAAAGGTTATGGTTTCATTACCCCGTGGGTCGTTAATCAGCTTGGATTCTAACCTTGCACTCTTCCCCCTCACTTTCTGCAATGCCTGTTTCCTACCTCTGCTGATCACAGTCCTGCTGGGTCTCTCCTCCTTAATGAGCTGAACGAATCTGTGATAGATGCTCATTCTCAGACTCGTGTGAGGGTCGTTCATTTTATCTTTCGGAAATTATACTTTGTCGTAAGGTTACTTCCAGAATCAGAAGAGGACTTTGAAGAAGCCTAATTGTTACCCATAAGGAGATTGTGAAACAAGAACCAGGTACAAGGTGCTCTGGACACACGAAATCAGAGAATAAAAAGCCCTCCTGAGAATTAAAAAGACACAGAGGAAATGAGCAAGCCCACAGGGGCAGGAGGAGGGGAAAGGGACACTGCTTTTCCCACAAAAAGCCCATGTGTGAGTCAGAAGACCAAGTCAAGGGATTCTGTGAAATCTGTGAAAGAAACAAAGAAGGATGTGGAGAAAAGATGAAGGCGAGACAGATATTTAATGACAATTCCAGGAAAGAGCAGACAAGAACAGGCCATAGCCCAAGAAGGAAAAAGAACCTTTCTCTGAGCTGAAGGAATGGATGCATCTAGAATTCTCTAATGGCCCACCTAGATCCACCCCAGAGAAAGGTCTGAATTCTGAGGGTAAAGAGAAAACCGCACAGGTCTAGGCAGGAAGAAGCAGGTTATCTTCCCAAAGAGAAGGGCTCTCCTTCACTCTGAACTTACCTGCGATAGGTCTGAATGATTCCACAAAGCAGGCAATAAACCTGACCCTCACACTTGAAGATCTGAGGAACATGTGTTTGGACAGGCAAGACTGGAAAATGACACTATCCAAACTATTTTTTTTTTTTTTTTTTTTTTTTTTTTTTTTTTTTTTGAGACTGAGTTTTACTCTGTCACCCTCGGTAGAGTGCCACAGCATCATAGCTCCTCTCAAACTCTTGGCTCAAGCAATCCTCTTGCCTTAGCCTCCCAAGTAGCTGGGACTACAGGTGCCTGCCGCAGGGCTTAGCTAGTTTTTCTGGTTTTAGTGGTAGTGGTGGGGGTGTCAAACTCCTGACCTCAAGTGATTCTCCTGCCTAGGCCTCCCAGAGTGCTGGGATTACAGGTGTGAGCCACAGGTGTCCTGCCCAAATGCATTTTCTTTTAAAAAACTACTTAAGAAAGTTCTCTAGCCAAATTGGAATGAGAACTTGACAAAGAGGGTACCTCATGGCTGAGAAACCAGCACAACTTCTAGGTGGATCTAAGAAACTACTGACAACATGCGAAACTATCTGTGGAATTTAGCATGTACTCGGGAGGAGTCCCACATCTGATCACCTATCCTGGCGCTGCTGCCATCTCATCTTCAAGGCCAGACCTCCTTACAGCATTATACACACTCACAGCCTCCAGCCTGTGCCAGCCTGCTGTCCCATGGCTGGGCATGGTTAATGCCTCCTCATCCTTCAGCTCTTGTGTGTCACCTCCCCAGGAAAGCCCTCAGGCACCCCCCCCAACCTGGCTCTGTGGGGCCCCTGTGTTAAATGCTCTCAGCAAACAGTAACGCTTTGCTCAGAGCCCTTGTCCCGGTCTGTGGAAACAACCCACCAACACAGCTGGTAGCTGTCCCCTCCAGACTACAAGTGCGGAAGGCCCAGGCCTGCACCTGGCTTCCCTCTTCCTAACCCGCAGCATCCAGGACAGCCCTGACACCTCGCAGGAGCTCATTCAGTTCCTGGTTGGCTGGTAGATGCATGAATGGGTCTGACCCAGGAAAGGAGGAACAAGGCGCAGAGCAGGGTCCAAGGTGCTCCAAGTGGACTAAGTTGTAACTTGGCCTCTCTGACTATAGTTCATGTGTTGGTAGAAATAACAGTTTGGAGACAGACAGTGCTCCACTCCGTGATGGAACTCTGAGTTGCCAAATGATTTAGGACAGTAATAATAATGATAATAGTAACAGCTAACATTTATCAGGTGCTCACTTTGATGTACCTACTATTATTATTATTATTCCCATTTTACAGATAAGGAAATAAAGACCTAGAGAGGTCAAGTGGCCTTCTCAAAGTCTTACAGCTAGTTACCATAGACCCAGTCTCGGCTGTGGAGCAGGAGGACATGTGGCTTACCAAGAAGGAGTGTCTGTCTGTCCCACCATTCAGCAGAGGGACACTCCTCACCCAGGGGTCCAGGAGGGCCCCACATCACCACACAGCTGCATCATCATCACTAAGAAGCCCCACAGGTCACCTAATTATGTCCAATGGCCACCAAAGACTGGACTTTGTCTGATGTGCACTACCTACCCTGCCATGACGATGAAGAAATCCAGGCGGTTCCATGTGTCCCCGAGGTAGCATTTCTTGCCAAAAATGCCCAGGGCCACCATCTTGAGCACCATCTCCATGGCAAAAAAGATGAAGATGAAGTCATCAAACACCTGCAGGGGCAGGACGGAAGAGGCAAGCGTCAGGGTGAGGTTGCAGAGCAGCACGCAGGGGTCAGAGCCACAGAGTGAAGACCCCAAAATTCCTCCGGGCAGGAAGAGAACCTCAGAAACTCTGGTCCAAAGCAGGCATTTGACAAAGTCTGTGGCTCAGAGAGGGAAATAACTTTGCCCAAAGTCACACAGCCCATTCTACTTGTTCCCTAACCCCAAAAGTAATGACAGGAGCCCCAGGTGGCAGTGGAACAGGGGTCTCTCTTAGAATCTCCCTAATAATTACCATATGCTGGCCTAGACACATGACTTGAATTTTCTTCTAATTCTCACAGGGACCCCATGGGTAACTCCATTTTATAGATGAGGAAATTAAGACTCAGAGATGTTAAGCAACTTGCCCCAGGTCACACAGCAGATAAGTGGCAGAATGCAAGTCTGAAACTTGGGTCAAGGAGCTGTCTCAAAACAAGCTTGACACCTCCCCACTCCCTGACCCAGCACTGGGCACAGGCTTCAGTGCTGCCTTCCTCTGCTTGAAGGGAGGCCCCACAGATGTCCCTGAGCATGGGCTCAGGTAAGCTTATATTTCCTGAGGGCAGGGCCTGAGTAGAATTCCTCTTTCCAGGATCAGTGAGGGCTGTAGTCAATTCAATTCAGCAATAGGGTACTGAGCACCTACTGTGTGCTAGAACATAGGCAGGTGGTAAGGAGGACACAGAGATGAGTCCTCACTGAACTCACCACCAGGTTAACAGGCTGTAGCTAGGCGCAGGGCCTGGGGCTGGCCTCAAACTCCTGAACTCAAGCAATCCTCCCACCTTTGCTTCCCAGAGTGCTAGGATTACAGGTGTGAGCCACAGTGCCAAGCCTTAGTGTCTGGATTTTTAAGACGTGCCCTCAGATAGTCTGCAGCCCAGTGCTGCATGGGAACTACTGAGGCTGGCAGAAACCCAGAGGCAAAAAGTAGTTCCTCCCAGGAGGACTCTGGCCTCTGAAAAATGGATATGACCCTAACACCCCACCCTGCACCAGGGCCATCCCAGGTTCCAAAGGCTAAGCCCCACCCAGGACCTTAGGAAATGAGAGCAGGAGGTGAAATTAGGGGGCCACCCCCACAGGGCCCAAGGCTGCAGCACTGAGGAGGAAGGGCAGAGGGGTGTTGGGGTCACTTGTGCTTTACAGGGATACATGGGGATGCGGAGCCATCCTCATGAGATGAGAGGCCAGGAGGAGCTGGTGAGGGCTCCAGGTGGAGGAGATGGGGACCTGGACTAGGCAGAGGCCCCAGGAGGGAGAAGGGATAAGGCAGAAGAGGACTACAAAGGAAACAGGAAGGACTAGCTGAGTGAGGACGAGGACAGCGGATTGAGTGTGGCAGGTGTAGCAGGTGCGGGTGGCACGTGGCAGGCGCTGGAGTGGGTGTACCCTGCTCACCTGCAGGATCTTGCAGCGGTCAGACAGGCAGTCCATGTCGTCACAGGGCTGGTACATGCCCAGGGTCACGCAGTTCAGCAGGATCACCAGCATGCTGACACACTCGAACCATGTGCACAACAAGTCAAGGACGAAACAGCTCAGGGAGCCTCAAATAAGTCAGTGCCCAAGTTTTAATAAACCTTGAAGCCAGCCTGTCCCCAGTACAACAAACAGGGCCATGTGTGCCAAGCCCACCAAGGGACCCAAACTCTACTAATCTGTCCCCTCCAGGACTGCCCTGGCCTTACCCCAGCCTGAGAATCCCCAGAAGCCAGGCTAACCAGCCATCTCTGAGCCCACCCAGCATCTCCACCTTGACCACTTCCCGGTGACTATCACTACCTGCCTTCTCTGGCCACCCTTCCCTTCCCCAACCCATGTCCCCTCCATCCCTGCCAAAGCCTGAGTCTGGAGCCTGCACAAAGCCCTCCAGGGTGGTCAGGACTGGCTGGATGCCCCATCCTCTCCTCACCCACTGCTGGGTAGATTCTGGAATGTTCGTGCCTAGGCCAGCCCCAGCCCCTGTGCCAAGCAGGTGGTGGGGCTGAGTCTCATCAGGCCTGTCAGGCAGAGAGTCCCCTGCAACCAGGGGCTCTTCACCCAGCCTTGGGCAAAGCCTCTGGGGCACTAGCTTGAAGCTGGGTAAAGGGGTTCCCCTCCCGGATCCTTGGCCAGGCTGCCCTCCTCACCCCGACTGAGTGCACCTCCAAACACTCTCCTGTCTCCCTCCCTGGCCAACTCCTGACCAGTTTTAGAATACCATGTCTTGTCTCACCACTCCCAACCCACCTAGTCACAGAGCCAGGGAGGTCAGAGCCCAAAGGAACTTGGAGTTTGCATCATTACACAGATGAGGAAGCTGAAGCCTGCTCATACCTCCCAAACTGGGATCTCCCACCCTGACTGAGTCCTGGGGCCTCAGAAAATCTGTGCTTACTTGAAAAGATAACAACTTGAGGTAAAACGGACTTACTCCACAAACAGCATGAATGACTAAAGTCAGACTCATAGGTGAACTTCCAGACCATGACGTCTGACTGACCTTAGCGGTGATAGCACAGCTAGGAGTAAGTTGTCCTTCTCTAAGGGGACAGATGGTGATAGAATTCACCAAACTTGCTTACACAATCCCCGCTACAGCCCCCAGGAACAGAAACACAGCTCGGGCACTGTAAAAGCAGCAAACAGGACAAAGGACCAGGCAACCTGCATGTGAACTCCAGTCCTAGCTATGACCCATTCTGGGGTCTCAGGCAGGAAACCCATAGTCTCTGAATTTGGAGACTCCCCACTGGCCCCCTGGGTCTGCTCTGTCCTTCTGGTCAACTCTCCCTGCACCAACAGAATGTGGTTAAAGCATCAGTAGGGGCTGGATATGGTGGCTCATGCCTGTAATCCCAGCACTTGGGGAGGCTGAGGCAACAGGATCACTTGAGCCTAGGAGTTCAAGACCAGCCTGGGGAGTATAGTGAAACCCCATCTCTACTACAAATAAAAATAAATTAGCCAGACACAGCGGCATATGCCTGTAATCCCAGCTACTCAGGAAGCTAGGGCAGAAGTATCGCTTGAGCTTGGGAATTCAGGGTTACAGTGAGCTATGATCTCACCACTGCAGTCCAGCCTGGGTGGTAGAACAAGACCCTGTTCTAAAAAAGTAATAATAATTTTAACCACACACCAATGAGATCACCTCCTTGCCCTGCTCAAAAGCCTGCCATGGCTCCCTGTCTCTTTGAGGAGTGAGCCCTGGCCCTGGCTCACTCCCGTCCCACCTCCCTGGTCTCCTGCCGCTCCTGGGACACACACAGCAGGCTCACTCCACCCCAGGGCCTTTGCACATGCTGTTACCCTTCCAAGTGCTAACCCTATAACTTCATTGTCACCACCTCAAAGAAGACTCCACCCAAGTTTTCCACACCCACCATGCCCTCTTCACAACCTGAGCTGCTTTGTCGACTTGCTGTTTGTTTTTCCCCATTGCTAGGACTTCACACCTACAGCCCTGACAGGCACCTAGAAGGAGCTCTGTGAATGTCTGCTAGATGAACAAACACACTAGTCCCTCCCTATCCACTGAGTCAGTTTCCCAAGGTCAGCCCAGGGCTGAAAATAGGTGAGTACGATATAGTAAGATATTTCAAGAGAGGGAGACTACACTCACATAAATTTTATTACAGCATATTTTTATAATGATTCTCTTTTATTATTAGTTGCTGTTGATTTCTTACTGTGTCTAAAGTAAACTTTATCATCGGTATGTACGTGCAGGATAAAACGTAGGCTATATCAGGTACTAGCCACAGTTTTAGGCATCCACTGGGGTCTTGGAATGTGTACCCCGTGGATTAGGGGAGCTGCTGTAAATCTCTGCCCACTGACATGCATTGACCTTTGGGTGTCTCCAAACAAAAACTCTCACCCCTCAATTTCAAAGCCCTTGCTCTTAGTTTCTGTCATAGCCACACCAACCAAACCTTTGGCCAGACCCCACCCACAGCCTACTGAGAGACTGACCTGGTTTCCATGGCAACCGCCCTCCCACCTCCTGGCCCTTGCTCACCTTGGGCTGCTGCCTTTAATCCTGCCTCTCCCAGCACCTCCCCGCCCCAGCCAGGCTCCTTCCTGTCCCCCAACCCTGCTGCCACTCTCCCACCATAGCCTGTAATTAATTCCAGTCACTGCCAGGGCCCCCTTCTAGCCTGAGCATAGCTCCAGCAGCAGCTTCATCATTAATTAACTTTTTTGAAGTTCAAACGTTCTAATTACCAGCGAACATCCCCATCCTTCTTGTCTTCCCCCGCCTGTTGAGCGCCCTCTCCTTTCAGCCACATCCTCTGCTCCCTCTTCCCTTCCTGCCAGTTTTGAGTTCCAAGGGCACTTAGCCCATATCTTCTGGGAGCCTTGGGCCCCTGCTTCTTCCTCACCAGGACCCTGAGCTGTGGGTGTCGGCAGGCCCATTTTACAGATAAGGAAAACTGAAGCTTGGAGAAATCAGGGGCATCTCCTGGGTCACCCAACCGGGAAGTATCAGAGTAGAGGTTCACCCCAGGCCAAGAGGACTCCAAGGCCAGTGCTTACTGTGAAGTAAGGCCTGTCCCTACCCATCGCTTCCCCTCCGTCATTCTTAGTGTTGGTCACCAGGACCCTGCACCAACCAGCTTCCTCTCTAGCCTCCAGCTCTGGTCTCTGCTGCTCCAATCTCCCCATACAATAACCAAGCACTTGCTGAGTGCCCAATACCATTTGAGCGTTTTGCAAGTGTTATCTCATTTAATCCTCACTGCTCTATTATAAGTCCATTTACAAATAAAAAACCAAGGCACAAATGGGAACATATTTGCTCAAGGTCACCAGCTAGAAAAGAGTGGAGCTGAGACACAAAACTAGAGCCTGCTTTTCTTGCCCCCAGGCTATTCTGCCATTGCCTAAAACACAATTCTGATTATGCCTCTCTCCTGCTCAAAAACCTTCAGTGGCTCCCCATCACCCTTCTTAGCCTGACACACCAGGCCTCCTAGGCTCTGACTTCAATGAACTCTTCCAGTCTTATCTCTTGGTTGGCCTCGAATTTCTTGCTGGCCCCAAGCACACCTTTGCATGTGCCTTTTCCTTCCCTCTACTCTCTCCTCCAGGCAGACTCTCTCACAACCTAGCTCATTTGTCACCTCTTCTTGAAGCTTCCCTAATGCACCTTTCACCCTTTACAAGGAGGGGGCACAGCCTCCTCTCCAGTGGTGCTCCCCCTAACCTTGTCTAGCATATATCACAGTAATAGACTTTGCAGTAACCAAGACTCCTATGTGCTGGAACCTAGGGACATGACCTTAACTATCACAATCCATTGGGAGTAATAAGGAGAAGGCCTGGAGGGCTGACATGACCTGTCATAGTCACACATTTCCTGGGCAACCCAGGTGATCTGACTCAAAACACTACAGGACACTGCCTCTGTAGCTCCCCCGCCTTGCCCACTGCACCGAGGCCCCAAAGGGTGATGGAATGGCCCTTATCTTTTGGCTGCTCAGCTTCAAGCATTCAGGGACATACAGCTTCAGTCCCTGCCCAGAGGCACTCAGGGAAAATCCCAGATGGCAGAGGCTGGGCCTCTTCCAAGAGCCTTGGAGGCTCAGAAGTCAGGCCAGAGCTGGCATCGCTGCCCACGGTTCCTGACACGCTCCCTGCATCTCAGGCATCAAAGGCACCAGCCCTCCTTGAAGTTAAACCAGACTATGTAGCATAGGACCAGAGGTTGTCAGAGGGAGTCAAGGTCTCTGGCAGAGCCATTCTAGCCTGGCCCAATGCCTAATGCTTTTGCCATTAGTCACAAGTGTCGAGGAACTCTTTGAGAGCACTGGCAAGCACAGCCATGAGGTTCTGGGACGACTTAAGGGAGAAAGGAGGCCAAAAAGGGGGATACAAGATTCTGTAATAGAGCAGGCCTGGCCTAGGATGCTAGCAACACAAGGGCAAGGGGTCTTCAATGGCTCCCTATTGCCTCCCACAGTAGACTCAAAGCCCCTAGATGAGCATCAGAGGCCATGCAGTTGGAACCCAGCCATGTCACCTACTTCACTCACCAAACCCTCACTCAACCTTTGTCACAGAGCATCCCCTGCCCAAGTCCTTAGGGAGCAACTGAGCCAATTGTGCTGATGGGAAACAGAGAGGCAGAAACCTGACCAAGCTACACAGACGCCCCGGAGCAGGAGCAGCACTCAGACAGCAGACGCCCCGCCCACTGGGGGGTCCCTGAGACACGGCTGGATTTTCAAATCCACAGCAAAGCCCTACATTTCCTGTCACACTAGGCATGGCCACATGGCCACCGTCCTTTTAAGCTGATTAGATCCCTGATGGACAGTTCTAAGCGCCTTTGAGGAACACAGATGGAGAAACAGATCAATGGTGATCCAATCAATACAGTTTCCTTGGCAGGCAAAGCCATCCTGAGCACTCGGGCCTGGGAAGAAAACCAGCCGAAGGGTCCTTGGGAACTCAGGGCCCCCACCAGCACCTCATGCCTGGCCTGGGCCTACCCCCCACTTCCCACACTTATCCCCTCCTGCT